AATTTGATCTAATGAATTTTTTAATTTTAGAGAATCCAAGAGGCGTTCTAGATGCACATTAAAATTTTTCAGGAAATTCCCAGTAATTCATTATACACTTCATCGGTTTGTGCTATTGTTTCAATTATTCACGGTGAATTATTATTTAGTAGCTACTGATCATTTGTATTATTTCGTCGGAGGTTATATTCGACTCCATCGGGTTCGATAAAATACAGTTTACGCTAAATTAAGGTACGCTATCATCGGTTTGATCCTTCACAGTGACTTCGTTTCGAAAATTGCTCAATTTTATCATTTCCAACGAGAAACTTTGTTATTTTCTGTAGCTTAATGACACTAGTATTGGATGCCAGTATACTGCCATTGTATGGGGCAGTTGAGTCGCCAGACTTTACCACAAACAGTATGACATCTGCATAATTAACGCGTGTAATTAATTAGGTTAATTAAATTAATGTAGATCCTTAATTAATATGGAATTCTGACGGGTGACTATGGTCACCTTTGGGATACAAGAAAGGCTTAGCGGTAAATGATTATAGTCACCTTTGGTACATAGCAAACGTTCGACATTGGGTGACCATAGTCACCCTTAGCCCCTTACCGCGTAAAATTTTAATTTCTTAAATTGTTATAAGAATCGTTAACCTCGAAATTTAAAAAAAAATTGATCTTCAAAAGAAATTTTGTCGATCGTTACGTGTGTTAATTCAAACAGGAGAACGTTGTCCTGCCAATGTTTTGTTGCAACAAGAAACGGAAATATTTAGGTGAACTCATTTAAGTGGTCCACCCTGTATAGTCAACCCACAGACAATTTATTAACACGTCTATCCCAGGTAAAATGTTAAAAAAGCTACTGAAATTGTCGTTACGTGTTTTTATATAAAGTGTTGAACAATTGACTGTCACTTTAAGCGTACCAATAGTTGTCGTAAAAATAATCATGTGTTTCATCTTCACACGAGGGACCGGAGGATTTTCCCCGAAAATAATTTTCACCGACGCAGATTATTTTGTGGCAGTAACGACGACACGGGAATACATTGTTCGCTCGTTCTGCAGGCTGGTTGCCGCTCCGCTTGTACCGAAATTCAATGTTTTCCATGCTGAATAAATCGTTGTTGTAACACTGCTCTTTACCAGATCGCGGAACGGTAAATGATTTTTCTGCATGAAAACTGCTTGAACGGGCACAAAATACGAGTACACGGCGCCCCTGATTTGTCACTGACCCTGCAAAGCTCGGGAACTCGTGATGTGATAATTCTTGCACATGTAATGAAAAAAGTGCAGCGGAAAAAAAAATTGAAAGCGTGAAGTTATACGGAATAAATTCGTTGTAGCCGGTGTACCTGCGGTGTAATTCCCATGAAGAATGCATGTATGCAGAATAAAAATTGTTTTTATTTTTCGTTCCGTGTCCCTTTTTTAAAGTATTACATGTGCCAAGGCTGCCACGTTGCAATAAAATGAGACGAAAATTTTGCATGTTAAATTTAATTACGCTTTATAACGCAAAAATTATTATAAGAGATTTGCAGGCTCCCGCTAAATATAGATAACACAATCGTATTAAATTGCAAAATTTTTTTATTTCTAACCCTTAGAATTATAATTTTGTATATTATTTGTTACAACATTGTTAACAATATATATACATATCATAAACAGAAAGCTCGTAATTTTTACTTCTATGTAAATGCGGACACTGAGGTCGAAAAATAATAAACCGAGATTAAATTTAATAAATAATAATTTCGGATGAAGAAGAAAAATAAGAAAATAAAGTGTGTTTCACCACTTCAACAATGAATTTGTATACTGGATAGGCTGTTGTACTTAGATACATCTATTACTTTTTCCACGAAAATATAATTAAAGAACGAATAATACCAATAACGTACATAGCATAAACGTGTCATAGTTTCAAGAATAAGTTCTAGACTTGCGAAAAAAATTCTGAATTACTCAACGGTGCATATTAAAAACAAACTATCCAAGTACGCAGAGTACATAATTCCAATCTAAATTACCAGTTAATACTTTGACAGGCAAGTGATGAAATTGCAGGCATTCCGTATAAACCAGTTACACGTGCCTATACGATGCGAAATGCTAGGAAACTCGTAACGATAGTTCCAACTCGCGAGCTACCGTGATCGTACGGTCTGCACACCACTGTGCGTTTTAATCCCTTCTCCGACATTATCCGAGGTATTATTCCGATAGGAGGTCTTCCTGGAGAGAGTCGAAGTTGAAATGCAAAGGGAGATATTACGTTCTTACGTGGACGCCATTATGTACCTCCAACCCATTCCCGTCTTCGTCTAGCGATCTATAGATCTATCTACATGCCGAGCTTCTTGTACCATACATGATATAGCTCGCGGCCATTACGACATATCTCAAGAGAACAATGTTTTCTAAAACGGCTATGATTCAACGTTTATGTGTACGATATCACGATTACATTCGAATTTGATACATTTTTACTGTATTATTTAAATGGTAAATGTACCTGCAACAAAATGATGGCCCCTTCGAAACCATTTCACTTTTATCTAAAATATTTTTCGATATCATCAACGGGTTTGAAGGGATCGATTTAAATGAAAAACTGATGAGTAATGCAACCTTATTTTTAAGAAACAAACCTTTGGCGACGTGCAGTAAAAGAAATATGAAAGTTAACAAACGACAGGTTTGAAATAGTAAATAATTTATAATTGAATAAAGAGAAATCAGAAGGTGGTAGTATTATATAATGGATGATTAATGATTTTTAAAGTAAAAATGCATTCTTTGCGTTGAAATTTTATATAAATATGAAAGATACTATGTTAGTGTAAAGAACACTTCCGGGCTCATTATTTCTACGTGTTATCGCGTCAAACACTACACGCTCGTTTATATAATATGTCTCACGATAAACCATAGTGAAAACGATTTGTTGACGTATCGCGGGTAATTGACCCACAAAAAATCTTGATTATTAGCACGCAATGGTTCTGACTAATAGCTGGTTCACACTACTAAGTCGGCAAAGCCTGGATTTTTCGAATTTTGATTGTTAGTAACGCAAAATAAATTTGACATCATTGTCATAAAAAAAATTTCAAGTGGATATCTGCAGAAGTTTCGAAGGAAACAACTTGTAATACTTTATCTAACAGACCCTGTATATCTGCATCAGATTTCTATATCATATCTAAAATCGGATATTTGTAAATATTCGTAGTTCATTTTCGAACACATTCAGAATCATCCTGTACACAACGGGGAATTCTTCAAATGAGGGCGCACGTGATATGCGCATTATTTATCGCCATTAATCGCGTCGTTGTAGTGGAAGGAGGTCGAAAGCGAAACTGAAAAGCATGGAAAGATATTACACCTTTGCACTGCCCCACGCAATCCTCTCGGAATAGGGGTGGCTGATGCGCGTATCTCATACGTTTGCGTGTTTCAGTATTCATTCTTCAGGTTGGCACAGTAAGGACGAGAAACAACGTATATTCCCGACCATAGGCTGTTCCAAGAGCACCTGGAGGAATTTGCATGAGGTTACATCTTGACTGTTATATTCAAGGCTTTTGACAGCTCGAATAACGTGACAGATGGATCCGAAGGAATTATTTCCCCGACACCTGTCTCTTTACGTTTAAACCGTACTTTCGAAATGTTTGTTATAGTTATATGTATATTGTCCACTTGAAAGAGATAAGTTTCGGTTAATAACTTGTTTCCTTACATTTATTACAACTATCACAAATATTACATCGCATTACAAATATTAAGGTTTCCCTCTAGTATTGGAATATGTCTGTTTACATGACTGTTTTAGGGAAATAAGGAAGCCACCCTTCCATTCCAACTTTCTCATTTTAGCCGACATACGGCAATGGTATCGAGTTTATTGCCTCCTGTGCAACGCGCATGACGCCAAAAGCTGATGACACCGACGCCCTGCATTCTGCTTCCCCCTTTTATGACCTTCACCGTTTAGTTTATCTGCTCCCCGACCTACTACCTTTGTCATTTCCCGGATTTACGATGTTCGTAAAGCCCCTGCCTTTACACTTTCCGAGACTCCGTTTCGCAACTTTTCCGTCGAAATACATAGTTCGCTCGGCGCAATAATTTATGACAATTTCATGTAAACGTCTTCATTTCTTCAATAATAAAATTGAAATATTAGGACATCTTATAGGGGACGTTATATGGTCAATAACATTGTCAGTACCGTAAATCGTTGATTTTCCGAAATATTCGTGACACACACTGTTCAGATAGTAACATTTCTCGTAAATCGATGTTCCAATAACCGAATTTTCAATTAATTTTATAAATGCTCCATAAATTGCTGATGTGGTAATCCAATTTCTATTGTGTTAATAAATACTTTGGGCTAATGGAATTGCTTTACTTGACACAACGCAATCATCACTTGTCTGTTTGACTTATACTGAAATTTTTGTATACCGTCTACACAAGAACACTGCAGGTGATGGGCACCATTTTGAACCTGCACTGTGAATTTCAGTGAGTTGGAAACTTAAAATTAGAGAGATCGTACGTTATTCAATTTGTACGGAATCACTTTCCCCCTGAATATTATTTTCGTCGTATTATTCCTTCAGGTAAATAAAGTAGTTAATATAATAGTAAAATATAATCAAAAATAAGGTATAATAATCATGTAACAAAACAAGGTAGTTACAGTGTTTTCATATTTCTTGTTTGTTAATTGATTATTATATTTTCCTTTATACCTGATACACATATCCTGAAAATAAAAAATATAACAGAGACATTATGTTATATTTAAGAATATTGTAATATTGTATGATTTTCATCAATGGTATTTTATTCATATTCACGCGCGACAGAAACAGATGTTACTAAATCAATCTACGGAAGAAATGAAAAGGTTTTCTGAAAACTTATTTTGAAATGGTTTCTGTCCCAAACATTTATTATTCTAACTCACCCACCATTGAGTACGTGGACTAGGACACTGGCTGACTCGGCCGAAGATGGGGCACATGTGTAATTTCCAGAATCAGCAGGTAACGCTCTGGAGATCAAGAGGCGCGATGTTCGCGTTTGTTTTTCAGTGACTACGCTGATGCCTCCCCTTTGGCTGTAATTTATCACGTGGTCACCTTTATACCTGGAAGAACACATTTCAATGTTAACGAAAGTAATAAGTGAGAAAATTATATTAAACGATAACGTAGATTATTTTATATTCTTCATGACATTGAGCAGTCACAAAATTGCATGTTACACGATCATAGACCAAGAACGAATACATTTCTTACATACTCTGTGCAGTTCACGAGATAATATTGGATTTCATTACTATTCTACCGAAACTTTTATATTAATAATCCATAGTAGTATAGTACCAATATTAGATTATTTCATTTCTGTGGCTCTTGAACATTTAAAAATGTATTAAAAGTATTACAGTAAATCCTTGATGAGTGTTCGATGGTTACTCAGCATTGGACATCAAGTATTTAATAAACTAATAGACATATGCGGCGGAAACAGAATTCATTGGCTTCAGAATTCAGTATGGCTCTTATTATCGAAGAACTTGCCTACCTCTGCATCAGAACCTCGAATATCGGAATTAATAGATAGACGAAAGTGATAGTAGAATTTTAAATATACTATTAGTAAAATATATCTCTTAACAGGAAATGAAAATATCCTGAATTGAATATACATCTTCTTACTTTCTTCTAACAGAAAGTGTAATTTTATATAATTCTGTTACCTATTCGGTGTCCAATTTCAGTTTCACGTTTGAAATATTTTTCCAAATCTCTTTCCAAAATCGTAAAGACTATTAATTCCTACATATGAAACAAATTCAGAGAACTGACTTAATCATGTATTATCGGCAGATCCAGTATTATCAATTCCAAACACGTACCGACATTTATAATTAAACAAGTACTAATTGAAAGAACTTATCCAAACACTGAAATTTCTTCCTTTTATCCCCGTGGCCAGTGCTAATCTTTTTTGGTCCAGAATTTCCTAGGAAATAACGAACCGTACGCCGTTTAATCATCGAAGCGTTCAATTAGTGCGTGCCCGAGGCCGTAGAGAAAGAAAAGCAATTCCGATTTTCCATCTGCCTATCAGCATCGTGTTACACGTTCACTTCGGTCTGTAATTGAGAGCCACCGAGAACCGTCTCGATGATTCATAGAGGACTTCATTGGTAAAGTTCGTTCGTATCGCGCTGTAAGCGTGCGAATTCGGCATTTATGTCTGAACGCAAATTGAATTCGGGAAAGTCCAATTAAACTCACCAGTAAATGAAGGACGGTGGCTCAGGTGTCTGCAGTACGACGCAGGTTAGATTGATGTCGCTTCCGCTTTTGATGTGCAGCTCTGAATTGCCGTTGATCTTTGCCTTCGACACTGCAAGCATAATGGACCTGACATTAGATCAATACGTTTCTCAAATGAATGCGGATGCCATAAGTGCTCTTGTGGGTGTACTCAACGGTGATTTTGTCATCAGTCGGGAAATTTAATGAACCGTTCTCAAAAATATGCGTTGATTTTGTTACAGTAAAGCCTCTCGTATTCGAACTAGTAGAGGGACATAAGTGTTTGGATAATGGAATTTTCGGATAATAGAACAATCACTTTTCTGACACGAAACTTTATATGTAGGCTCACTAACAAGTTAAACATGTATTTTCCGGAATTTCTGTCCTGCGAGACAAAACTACACTCAAATGAAGGCCCACCAGAGTGGCTATAACATTAACACTAAGATGACATATAAGATTACATATAAAAAAAAATAATAAGAATTACCGCAGTCTAGTAATTAACATAACCATGTACATGTTCGTGTTACTTATGTTTACTGACCTACGACGCTCAAGTTGAAAGCCTGGCTAATTTTCGGTTCAGTTGAGACCTGGCACTCGTATATTCCACTGTCTCGGACCTGTGGGGAAGTAATCTTCAAGGTCCATTCGTCACTTCCGTCACTGTGCAGCGACTGGAAACGCTGGTCGTTCGTGTACGTTAAGATTCCTACGGTGAGGATGTGCAAATCTCGTTTCCGAATCCACGAAACCTGTAAACAGACCAGAACAGTTTTTAATTGAATGCACACAAAACTGATGTTACGTAGAAATATACAACGAATTTTACGTGATCTATGTTCGATATAACATATAATCATTGAATAATCAGTGTTTTTATTCAAATATCTATGTTGTATCAAGTTTTTCATACAAGTTTATAAAATTGTAGAGTATAATCCAGTTATTAAAATAGATTTATTACATAGTATTTTAAAAAATCGGATGTCAGGAGATAAATATTTTTATAAAATTAACGATGCTATACTATTGATATACAGAAATATGTCTTTACAGAATCAAATCTATTTTATAATCATTAAACTATCACAAAATTTGAACAATACTACTGATGGTAAAATTAATTTGTGGAATTCAGTCGAACTCAATTGTATTCAAATATAAATTCCATCGGATTTAATTGAAATTAAAACTTAATTTTCGATTGTTAATCGTCAATGGCATTTAAGTAGCACGCTTAATTTAGTTTTTGATAGCCATACAGGTGGAGAATGTATCATCAAATATTTTTGAATGAAGGTAATACTTAAAGGAACTAAATACAGAAGATATTAACTAATTTTAATTGTCAAATTCGGTTAACTTTGTCAATTAACGTACGTAATAGTAGTAAAAGTGATAATAACTATTGTTGGTTAATGAGATTAAATTTTATCCGTAAGATTAAAAGGATTAAAATGTCAACGTAGAAGTTGTTAAGTCCAGAAATTGAAAGTCCCAAAGTTCCGTACCTAAGAGGAGAACACACACACGAACGAGAATAAATCCTCATAACCTTTCACTGTTACGCTCGAGTAAATCTAGAAAAAAAAAACGAATTCAGTATTTATTGGATAAAGCGGGACGGAACTGAAATTTATGTTTCTACGCTTTGGTAAACCCCAACGTGGAATTATCGAGAAAATCTACCCTCTATTCGACGCGCTTTGTCCGCCGAATTTCACATTACATTCAATCACGGATAAATTGTATTTCTTTTCAGGGAACAAAGAAAAAGAAATTTCGACAAAGCCCTCGACGTGAAAACATTTAACTGATCCGCAGTAATCTTGGTCCGTGGCCGCGACTGGCCGCCTCTATCGAACTCAATTATCCAGGCCCGAATGTTGAGCCTGTAATTTTTCGCCCGCAAAAAACTTCACGGTTCAATTTAACTTTCAGTCAGATATAATTAGAACAGGAGCACGCGGGAACCTTGGGAAATGGATGGTTTATCGGTGAAGCGTTTATTCTCCGGGCTGAACGATGTTGAGAACGGAGAATTGATGTCCCGAAACGTCTCGGCGGAGAATTAATTGTGGCAAGAGGTGTTCGTTTACTAAGTACCAATTAGAGACACTGTATGGATCTTGTCTATTGTTGTGGCTGAAACGTTTTTACTATCTCGGGAATTTGGTTCGCTGGTAAAACGTGTCGCCTATTACCTATATGCATTCTGTTAATGAAAAATTCTGAAATAGATTCACTATGCATGCATATTATTCGTGTTCTATGAGTCGAAGTGGGACACTATTATACTAGTATTAATATTTAACATTGAGGGTAAATGAAAACTTGCGATCAGTACAGAATTCACTCTATTTCTGAGAAAATATTAACACTAGTCGTTTCTCGCGACTACGCCAGCATTAGCACGAGCGTCCGATTTTTGTGAGGATTTATGGCCTTATTGCTTCCCGAGTCAGCGGTTTGAAACCGTTGTTTTCTGATAGATAAAAAATATCGAGAATGTTTGACAAATATGGAAATATCTATCTAACACCAGTTTGAAAAAAAGCGAATATGCAAGAGGATGAATTGTATTCCAATGGAAGGGCAACGGAAAGTTGAAAAATATAGCCGACGATCTGCATTCTACGACGGGAGAGTAGACATCCCAGTGTTGTTTCAATGTTATAATAACGATTCGAATAGTATCGTAGTCCGTTTCCCTACCATTAGAAAAATGTTGTCCTTTTTCAGTGTTTGTAAAAGGGAACTTCGTATTGCTTAAAAAATTATGATAACATTCTAATGTTTGGAAACCCTTAAATGGTACAGTGTAACCTTGATTAGTACAGTAAAACGGAATTGATACAACCACCTAAGGATATAAAGATGTGGAAGTAATTAATTCAGTATACTAGATACCTATGTACCCTAGACCCTATTTTTTTAATACAGAAGTTTCAGTCTCATTTTCTATAGTTATTCTTAGCTTTACTTTGTCTATTACCATTTATAACCAATTAGGCCTACCATTTTTTGACGCAATATAACAGCCGAGGTTTGTTTGCCAGTTTCGAGATTTCGTCACAAAAATATAAAGGTCATCGAGCAATGCTTCCATTGATGCACACAATTAAATTTCTCAGTAAATTTCAAATTTTATGTATTTAAAGCATACACGATTGCTGGAATCATTAAAATATTTAATAAATTTTAATGAGATATCTATATTATCTGAAAGCTAATAAAATCCTTATTTATATAAATTAATATTTAAATAAATTAATTTATGAAAATGTATACTTACATAAACATCCACGGTCTATTTATAATGAATACTTTCAATGTCCATTGTAATTTCGGTAATGTTCGGGTGAATTGTACAGGTCTTCCTGTACAACAATACAATTTTTAAATTTTAATTCCAGTACCTTTGTCCGTACACATTAATGGGTTTATCCCGTATAATTAATGCGTTCAGTCCGTTGCCCAAATTTAGGTCAGTACGGTTCTGACTTAGAAGTCCATACATCACACACGTTTGAATAGAACAGATTGTTCCCCTATGAGTAATCAAACAATCTTGTTAAAATTAAACAAAATATACTAAACATACGACGCATAAAAACAATATTTTTAACAGAATCATTAGTATACAGACTCCTCTCGATTATTGTCCAGAACTTAGGTCCGCACCGGAACAATAATCTTGTAGAAAGAAATGCATCAAACCCTCGTAATTTCGTTTTTTGCCTGAAGCCCGAGCCTCGACAATAAAAACAGAAGAGCAACAAAGTATGCACTTGACAGTTTCCACAGCCCCTACAACGCCTGGACAATAATCATGTAGAACAAGACAGACGATAATCGAAAGGAGCCTGTACATAGATATAGATAGAGTGAGTAATTAATTAATAAATGAATTCTCGTCATAGTTTGCTTTGCAATGAAGTCAATAAAAAGATGAATTTACGTAACATTTCGCAGTTTACACGATCTACGTTCGGTAGAACGAAGATTATAGACCAATATAGTGAATAATGAATAAATGAATAAAAAGAGCCGTGGAAAAATGTATTTTTTTTTTTGTTTCGTTTCAATGCCGCTTGAAACAACGAATGGCATGAAGCTGTCGCACGCAACGACAATGCACCGACTGTTGCCACATTGATTTTACACCGCGAATATAAACGCCTGGGCCGGCGCAGATAGAGAGCGGTGCACGCGGCACACTGGCGGTAGTGGGGACGAGGTGGAGAGAAATCTGATTTATCGCCGATTACGATCGGTGATTGGATTCCGACGGGTTCCTGTGTGTCGTGCGGTTATGCATGAGTAACGCCAATAACGAGTAGTGTCACTATTTGACGACGACTGGTGCACTTGTCCGTGAAAGTACTTTTCATTAAGATGCTCGCTGATACCTGTTCGTCGATATCCGTTTTATGAATTTTCAGAGATCGACCCGCATCGACATTTATTACACAGGGAACACGTCATAGAACGGTTTCCTTCTTTATCAAACGGTTTGAAGGCATTGCGAAAACTTGTTTGATTACTCTATGAGGTACTATTAACTCGTTAGCCTTTTTTTAAAAAATTCATGAAAAATGTCACTTCTTTTGATTCGTGGGAATCATTATTTGAACAGATTTTAGTAGAATACTTAAACATATGGGGACAACAATACAATAGGTATATAAACATTAATATTTTTAGTTTACATCAATGGAAGTCTGCTAGAGTACGGGAAGCGTGAACATCCCTTTGTACGTTATGATATGCTTTTTGAAGAATAATTCATCCGCAGGTCTCTTGAAGTATTATTTATTACTCCTTATAAAAATGAAAAACGAAACGCTTTGTTATAACGAAACACCGTTGCCTAAATTCTCGTGCAGCTGTTAAACGAATAAAATTCGTTTCCTCTTTATCTTCATTTTAATGCGCTCCTCAAGACTCTTCAAAAAGTCACGAAAACGATCTAAGATTCACTTTGTTCAATGTGTCAAAAATTAAACGCCGTCTTAACGGCTTTCACTCTTTTCGGGCGTCGTTCCCAGGCGCAAAAAGTTACTCCCTATCGTCGTGTCCATGGGAGGGTTAAAATCAGATCCAGGAATCGCGGCAAAAAGTGCTGGGAAATCCCTCGGTCGTTGGAACGATGGGAGAAGTCGGAGTGAAAAGCGTAGTAGGTTTCATCAGACGGCTACTCATCCGTGAAACACACGACGTCCCAGGGCGTTTTCTCGTTCTTATTACACGGGGGTCAAGGTAATAATGAAATTCGAAACTTACAGCACGATCGCCAAGATTGCGCACCCTGCAGTGCAGGTGAGCGGTCTGCCCGACGGTCGTCGTGGTATCCCTCCTCGTCGTGTTGTCGAAGTATGGCTGGCTAAAGGGTTGCTCCCAGTACGAAGACTGATGGTGCTCCACCACCGCTCCGCCGTTCTTCACCGCACACTCTGCCAAAACCAATAAACATTGTTAAGACGATCCCAGATAAGTAAAGTGAGGTGGTATCGTGGTTATTTCTGTTGCTTAATTCTACTGTACAATTGATTTGAATTTCGAAGTGAGTATGAAATGTGGTAGCTGGACCCTCCCATTGGATGTGTACACTGTCGTTCATAAGTAGACTGCGGATTATTATGCAAAATGATATTTTCTAAATTAATTTATACAGAGAAGAGCAAATGTAGGAATTTCTATCTTTTCTTAAGTATCATATTAGGTTCGGAATAAACTAGAAAACTGATTGGATCTGATGAAAGTTTTGTATTTTACAGACCCCTACTATAATGCATAAAATCCGTAGTCTATTCATAAGTCACGAAACCCTTATTCTGATGGAAATACAAATTGTCATTGAGATAGAAGTTTAAGAAGGAATATTACTACAATAGCATGCCCGTATTTGAACTAATACAGAGACAAAAGTATTTGGATAATAGAACTGTCAGTTCTCTGGTACTAAAACATATAATGACAGTTATTGTACTTTTATATACAATATTATTTTTATAACTGCAAGTTATATTTCAGACAATAAATTTTTTCACTTTCGGCGAACCCTATTGTGAGATTTTTTATAGATCGCTAAGCCAGTGGCCGTGAGCGTAAACAGTGAAGATCGGGCGGACAGACAATAGCCTTGGCAATCGCAAATGTTTACACAAAAACATCAATGTTACCCGCAATCCGTCCAATTCGACAGTTTGCATCGATAGTTCTGTGCTGGTATGTAGGTATGCTTGTATTGCATTGAGTTATTGGCATTTAAGCAAACACGAATGAACTTTCATTATTTTCTTCTGAGAACTTCTAAATACTTTTCTTTAATATTTATTCACGTTGTTGCAAAATCTTTGTGTAAATGAATGAAAACTTGTTACCTTTCAATCAACTTTATTTTCACGTTTTTGTCGCTCGCGCTGTGTGTACCGCGATATTGATTGTTAATTAGTAATTAATTCATTCGCCTTTGTGAAATTCAACCGATACAAAATATAGGCAAAGGAAAATCATGACATAATAATTTATCGATTATTATTATCGATGATACAAGGTCAAAAAGCAGATTTCCGCTACGTGAACTCTGCGAAATATATTAAACGAAAATATATCAATTCTCAAAATAATTAATTTCGTGTACATCAATAGGGTAGACCTTGCTTAAACGTCCCAACATTTTTTTTCTTCGTATTTCTTTGCTCTCACCCCTTAGAATGCATTTCATACGAAAATAATCCTTTAACATTTTTTTTGCAATTGGACAACAGGGGCAACGTTACCCCAGAAAAGTGGACGGAAGAAATACATTGGATGAAAGGTCTATTCTTATGTTTAAGTATTTTCCTTGAAAGCACAGACATGAGAAAATTTCAATACCACAACTCAATAATTGTACATAATATTTGGTTGTAATACTAAAATTACCAAACCTGTCAAAATAAGGGATTTCTGATTGCTTATTTCACAGTTACTGAAATTATTCAACTGCATTTGTCGAAATTTATATTGACCACTAGTTTATTATGCACACATATTACATTTATTTTATATACATATGTAATACACATTAATACACTGGACAATTTAAGTTAGTACATATTTAATGTGGATAATTGCAGCGTTAAGTACTGTATTAAATTCGACACTACGAACGAGATATAGGATATTCGTCTGGTATTCAGCCAGTTAAACTACATATACGGAAATGATTGAAAGTATCCCGTGAAAACATAAGAAGAACATAAACAAGACGTATGAAACGTACAATTAGTAGGTAGTGTTCTTTATTCTATTGTACCCACGTATAATGAGCCTAAGGAGTAGAGACAAGTCGTACATGGAAAGTAATTAGGCAAAACCATTAGACATTTCTTTTAGAATCAGTGGAGGGAAACTGCATCCCGGCTTACAGCTACAAAGAGAAATATACAACGGTCGCAGTGCAAACAGCAATACTTTCTGCCTTTGCACTCGACTTCTCAAGTCACCGTGACTCTAACAACTTTACTTCAGCCTAATGATGTTTCCATTGAATCAGGGGAATGGTTTTTAATGCCTCGAAGGGATTCTTTGCACACTCCAGTGAAGTCGGGAATTTCATAAGCTTTCAGCGTTACGACCTCATAATTTAGAAGTACATTCCTCGTAAACACTTTAATCCTGTAAAGGTCGGTAGAGTTACTTGTCGGTGCTAAGAAATCGTAATTGAAAATTTTCCTTTGCGTGATACGATTATGAAGGTAAAGTCTTTTATACGCGATTAGAAGTCTGACGACGAGCCTTTACTGTATCTCAGACCTATTCGATATGCTATACTACAGTTGCAATGAGATAATAGAAAGTAAGTGAAATTTGTAATTTTCTAATACTTATGAACCAGAGTGTATATACAGCGTGAACCACGAATCGCGATCAGTAGATATCATTAGATGTGTTCCAATGTACAGAACGAAATGTTTCCAAATAGTAAGTAAGAGCTCAACATCGAAACGCGTACAATGGCGTAGCATACGATACTCTTTGTAATATTACAGTTCGAATATTCCTTTAATTTTTTCTCAACCCAGATGAAAAAAAAAGTAACACATGTTATGTTATGATACTTAACGAATTTGTCTTGAAACCCTGTGACAGATAGGCGTAAAAAAATTATGGGTGTATTTGCAAAAAATTGAAGGTGACCATGAAAAATTATGAAAAAAAAGAGTGGATAAAAAATTTGCTATAATTACGTTAAAACTCTCTTGAAACCAGGTAAAAACATTTTCGACTGCCTGTATATGATAACCCTGTAGATACTTTCCATGTACTAAAAATAAATATCATGGTAATTATTTGCATGGTAATTATACATAACGGAAGAATTCTGTTTATTGTCTGTCCAAACGAAATATAATTTTGAATATTTTACTGTATTTCCATTGCTTCCATAACCGAAATCCTCGTTTACATACCGGTTACATACCCCTGCTAACCTATCCCAAACTTGGCACCTAAGCGGTGGTTAGTGGTGAGAACTGGTGAAGAGTCAGCTGGTTTTTGCCTCAGTAGACGGGACGTATACATATATTTCCACAAAAGGAACTAGGTCATGACGTTACCCGGAATTTCGGTGGCTGTTCGATATCTTATGCGCTTTAATGATGCACTTTGATAACCTATGTACCTCTTAAGGTATTAATTTTAAGAAAAATATCCCCCCTGAGAATATACGCCTAGTTAATTAATTAAATTATTTCGAGAATTTTCTGAGTCTTCGAGTTAAAATTCGAATCGCTGGAAGTTGATTGTTTTATTATTTGTACATATATGTGTATCTTAAGAGACGTTAGTGTACATTAAAGGAAATTTTATAATTTGGATGAGTTACGTAGTGTTATCTTATTATATCTGTAAATGGTTTGATAGTGATCACAGCGAATTTTAAATATACAAGGAAATAAAGACTAAATGTTGAAGTAGTCACATACAGGGTGTCCCATTATTGTCGTGCCGTTTGTTACTCAAATTAATGCTATTGGACAGGGCGTTTGTGTGAAGCTTATACTGTTTCGTCTTAAAAATCTTATGACGCGAAATGTTTTTTTCAGGTGGTGGAGCTACCAAAATTCCCAGGTGACCCTTGTTTTTTTTTTAAATGGACCTACATATTCTTCTAAGCCAAATGTATATCCCTAAAGTTCATTGATCTATAAATGAGAGTCTTGCAAGGTAATTCAAGATTACTTAAGCTAAGAAGGTTCAAATATATGATTAAACTTACTGATAACGTAAAAAATGCTCCTACTTAGTATCTATGTAAAAGCCGATTCATAATAAGATAGTACTTAGATACTATACACAGCAATAAGAAAAAAGAACGTTCGCTTCACTGACCCAATTACTGAATCGATTTCCCCTGTTACGTAATGTTTCAGCGGGTTCGTTCATGAAGCAACTGCAGCGAAAAAGGTCCGAAAACATGGTCGAAGTATCTCCTTGCACTCTTGGTAAGTGAGAACGAAACGCGAAACCTCTTGCTGAAATCCAAGTGGTTCATGTCCTCGACATCACAGGTTGTTCGCTCTGAAAGTTAGTACATACTGAAAATATTGCACTCTGCGCTTTCTTCAAGATCCTTTTTCCGCGTATAACCTTGCGTCACAGCTGCGAACTAATATAATTTATCTAAAATAATTCTGATAATCGGATATAAGGAGATGGCATCTTCATCTAATGCTACTGCTGCTGCAGCGTTCGCCTTGATGGTGATTTGCAGAATTTTGAAAAAGGAAATATACACAGAATTATATAAAAACCGACTGCAACATGGAGATAGATTACTGCAAGATATGGCGATTAAATTAATTGAATCTACCGTACAAAATTTGACCCGCATCCCTGGATGAAGATTACAGAACAAACAAGACAGTTGTACATTCCAGAAGAGTTGCAATCGATATAGCGGAGCAAGGAGCAGCATTGATGAATTTTAACTACCTCTTGGACAGTCTGGCCCCGTGGGTTCGAGAGGCCGGCGGCCGTTTTAAGCCGACTGCTTCGGAACCCAAGGGGACCTGGGAATAGGATACGCTGCCTGTATCATGGAGGTGGTTTGATCGATGACTCTATACGGCTCATCCTGCTGCGACGGATGAAATGGGTGGCGGCGATTAGGGTCATCAGAGGGTACGGCAGGATTTCATTCGAGGCGACAACTACTCTGGCGGGAGTTATGCCATTTCAAATCCAGGCGCAAGAATCCGCGGAGGTCTATGATGACCTCCGCGTACTTCGCCAGGGAGAACATGGTCCCGCCGGAGGTGATGGTTCAGGATGTGAAACGTGGGGCTCGGGGCTGCCATTGGAGAGCTGGAAGGCTTGGTTATCCGAGCCGGACATCTCCGCTAACCGCGCGGTCGAGGCAGTTCTGGCGAGCCTGGAAACTTGGCGGGTCAGAAGTTGGGGACTT